GCGATGGTGACGTGGCCTCTGTACGCGGAGCAGAAGATGAACGCGGTGATGCTGACGGAGGAGGTGGGGGTGGCAGTGAGGGGACGGGCGGAGGGGGTGGTGGGGAGGGCGGAGATAGAGAGGTGGGTGAGGCGGATAATGGTGGATGAAGAAGGGCAGGGAATCAGAGAGAGGGTTCAAGCCGTTAAAATTAGTGGGGAAAAGGCAGTGTGTAAGGGTGGGTCGTCGTACAATTCGTTGGCTCATGTGGCTTCCCAATGCAGACTTTTTCGGGACGGAAAGTGACCCTTATAAAAAATGTTTAGTTCACTCTTCATTAAATGTGTGATCTCACAATCTAGACTCCTTCCCGACTCAGTGTTCTTGTTGTACTCATTTCTCTCTCTCCCTCTTCAAGGTTCAATATTTTTGTTGTCACACCATTTGGTGTCCACTTCCTTTCAAAACTCGTCTCTCCTCCCATTTATACAGCATCTATACATAAAATTATTTTGAACTATTTAACTATGAATGTTTTATAATTATATGCATTATTGTTATTTTTTTAATAAAATATTTTTAAATTTATTGGGATGTTTTATATATTTTTTTATAAAATTTATATTAGAAAATGAAAAACTATTCTTTAAAAAACAATAAAAATAATATATATATATTTTTTTAAAAACTGTATTGATTACATAAAGGGTGGCCATGAGAGTGTTATATTCAAATAATTAAGTATTGTGGGAATGGAAGAAGCTGTCCACAACAACTAAGAGTAAAGAAAGAAACAAGTTTGCAACATTTGATACAGCTGCTGATCGGGTGGCCGCGGCAGGCCTGTTGGCGTCAGTGGAACGAGCGGTCACCGGTGGGAGCGGTGGGTCGACGACATCTCCAGCATCCAATGGTGGCAATGGAGGATCGGAAGGTGGTTTAGCCTCTGAAGGCACCATACTCATGAGCAAACCAATTTCTGGTGGCAAGATTATATATGGAGCTACGTTCAGGTCGGGTTGAGTCGGTCGGCATGGACATGCTGCAATCATGAAATAATACAAGAATATCGTCAACTTATTTTAACTAGTTGGATTATGCTACTAAGTCTTCGTATAACCTACTCATATATTGTTTTGTAGTTTTAGGAAATTCAGTTATGACGCCGTCGACGTGGAAGTAGTCGACATAGGTAGCGATCTCCAAGGAGGGTTGGGCGTAGTAATCAAAAGCCAAGGAGACGTATTCGTTCCTCAGGACATACACAAAGATAGAGAGATTGGAAGCTTTCATTTCAGAGACGACTTTGGTGAGGCCAGTGGTGAAGTAGTTGGTTACTTCAATGATAGAGGCACGAGGAATGGCCACAGCTTGGGCGTAGCGTTTGATCTCTTCAAGGGCATTGTTTGGGACATCACCAATCTTGGAGTCAACCGTTAAAACTCTTATGAAATTTGGGAACTTGGCCTTGAAAATGGACAGCACAGAAGTGTCGTCTGATCTGATGAACACTTGTTGAGTTGATTGCTTGTCAAAAGTGGCATTGCTTAGGGCTGTGGCTACGCTTCCCACCATGTCCAGACCTTTCTTTGAAGCCAAGTATGCTGCGTTCTGACACAGTGAAGTGAAGGCTATGGGTTAATAGACGATCACTCACCAGATAATTTGGAATGTGTAACCGCTCAAGCCCACCGCTAATAGATATTATCCGTTTTGGCCTATAATGTATTACTGTTAGCCTCACGGTTTTAAAACGCTTCTACTAGGGAGAGGTTTCCACACCCTTAGGAATGCTTCATTCACATCTCCAACTGAGGTGAGATCTCACAATCCCCACCCCCTTGGGGGCCCAATGTCCTCGCTAACACACCCCTTGGTGTCTAGTTTTGATATTATTTGTAACACTCAAAGTCTATCACTAGCAGATATTGTCCACATTGGCCCATTAAGTATCGTCGTTAGCCTCACGGTTTCAAAATACGTTTGCTAGGGAGAAATTTCCACACTCACACAAGAAATGCTTAGTTCCCTTCTCCAATTGATGTGGGATCTCACAATCCACTTCCCTTGCGGCCCAACGTCCTCGCTGGCATACCGCTCGGTGTCTAGCTCTGATGTCATTTGTGACACTCCAAGCCCACCGCTAGCAGATATTGTCCGCGTAGCCTGTTATGTATGTCAGCCTCACGATTTTAAAACGTGTCTATTAGAGAAAGATTTCCACACTTATATAAAAGAATGTTTTGTTCTATTCACCGAGGGTGAGGGGAGATTGAAAAAAGAAAGGGGTTTACTTGGATGTTGATCATAATTCCAGAAACAGCTTTGGCTTTAGCAAACTCCAGAAAGTCAGGAAGGGTCACGAAGTTGCCCTTGTTCTTAAACGCTGGATTACGGGCAAGCCCAGAAGAGGCCATGAAAGGGTTTGTAATTTGAGCTGAAACACAGAGACATGAAACTAAAGAAGAAACGAAATCAAAAGTTGATAGGAAAACGAAAGATGCAGGAAGGAGGGTTACGCTTGAGAGTAAGAATCTCAGCCCAGGTAAGATCAAAAGAGAAGATCCCAACTTGGGGTTGAAGTTCAGGGATGGTTGTAGTTCGATCGGAGAAAGCGGTGATAGCAGTGGTGGTTGTCAACAGATCCGCCATGTTCATGCACAATGCTACTCCATCTTTTGATAATTGAACTGAACAATCAATAACGTCAGCCCCATCATCAATTGCTCTTTGGTAAGCAACGTCAGTCGAGCCTGGGAAATCCCCACTTGCCCCATTGCTGCTTATCACCAATGCTTCCTTTACTCCTGCCCAAACTAAAATGTCATAAACAGTGATGACGGCCCGAGCCTACTTTAAGATTTTTAAAACGCGTCTATTAGGAAGAGGTTTCCACACTCTTATAAAGAATGTTCCGTTACCCTCTCCAACCGATGTGGAATCTCACAATCCACCTCCTTCAGGGCCAGCGTCTTTGTTGTCCCACAGCCCGATGTTTGGCTCTGATACCATTTGTAACAGCCCATGGTCTGTTTTGTATCACTATTAGCCTCACGGATTTGAAACACATCCGTAACACAGAGCCAAACACCGAGTCTCTTGAAAGGGTTACAGTAACACTCAAGTGCTGAATCCGAATTCTAAATTCTGATTTTGGAGTAAGGCTAAAAGAAAACCCGAGTAGCAAGATCGTTACCAGGTTGAGCCTTGCCGTTGTTCCGAAAACTCGAATAGCAGGCTGCAAGAAGGAAGGACACAAACTAAGAATTCAGAATAAATGAAGCAAGAAGGGATAAAAAGAAAAGGCTGACCAATGGCTTGAAAAGCAGTAGGAGAGAAATCCGAGAGGACCCCATCAACAGCAAATTGGCCATTATCCACATACTGAAGGTACTCACGGATTGGATCATAACTATAATTGTAACCAACCATAGCATCATTAGCAAAGCCAGAAGCATAAACTTCCAAGCCAAGCTTATGGGCATCCATGACAAGGCTTGTTGCAGGCTGCACGTACTTGTCTGAACCAATTGGCCAAATGTATTCTTTTCTGATGAGAATTCCCGAGGCAAATGACTTGATCATGGCCAGTTCTTGAGCCAATGCACCGTATGTTTTCTTTGTTGTTGGCTCTGTTTCATTGGCTTCTAAGAACCGGAAGATCAGCTTTGTTCTGCCTTTGTTCACACTCCCACTTAGCCCTCTCAACAACCCAATCTCCGAAGATGACACATAGTTTATAGCCATCAATCTCAATGCCTTTTGAAGGTATGATGAGACACTCAGATTATGTTCTGCATAGAATGCCTCATACTGGAAAAGATCAAACCCAATCAAATAGTTATCAAACGAAGTCTTAACAATATGAGTATCAAATACCTCGACGTTCAACCAAAACCGAGATGGTTTAATCCGAACGACGTCTTCAACAGCAGCTACTGGCCACGTACCATCATAGACACTAGGTCGGGAGAAGATACTTTGAATCACTGATGATGAAAGAAAATTAAAATGGAAAAGTTAGATAATGAAGAACAATGAAACAATGAAGAGGAACATACTGTAGACTCTGTTAAAGAGATCCTCAGACATGAAATCAACAGAAAACAATCCACTGATAATCTTTCCATAAACGTTGTAATGCTTATGAGGCTGTGGGAAGATGTCTTCAATGTTGGTCGAGTTTTGAAGCCTGAGATCAGTTAAGCAAAGGCCTATCCCATCTTTGGTCAGCTGGAGGTTGCAGTACAACACAGTTTTGTTATGTAAACCTGAAGCCAATGCCATTTGATTTGCAAAGGGGCTTGATTCTGGGAACACTCCAGATAGCCCTCCTCTTGCTATCACTATTGGCTCTTCCCCTGCACAACTATTTCACATTCATTCACTAACTTTTAACCTCGCGGTTTGAACGGGAAATTACTCGAGAAGCCCACCACAATGTAGTCGATAGTTTTGCATCATTGTAGCAGTCTCGTTAAATAATTTTTTTATTTTTTTTATTTTTTGAATTTGAATGAAGAAAAAGAAAGGAAAATAGTAAAGGAACCTCTCAAGGTGAGCCATTGACGTTTATGGGGGTCGTTGTGCTGTGCAGAGGCGGAGGAGAGGAAGAACGAAGCTATGACCAATAAGCACCTCAGCATTGTGAGTCACACCACTGTTTGACTGCAAAACAAAACCAAAATTCATCGATTTAGTTTTAAGTTTAATGGTGATTTAAGTTAATTAATCTCCAATTAATTAACTTAAAAGATCATGAGATGTAACATGCAGCGTAATCAATTACAAGGGGGTTTTTTCGAAGAACATTTGATTTCAGATTTTATTTAGCTTAAGTTTACTTAATTAATTAATTAAATCACAATTAAATGGTGTACCGTTGAACTACCATTGTCAATTAAATTTAATTGTGTCAATTTATGGGTTGTGGTTACAGTCGAGATAAATTCATTGATTTTCTTTTTTCTGAAAACTTACGTATTTTTATATTTAATTACCGATTACTATTTGGATTCCTCCCCAGGCTCCAATTGGATGGAGAGATTAACTTAACAAAAACAAAATAACATTTCTTATTAAAAAAAACAGTATTAAAACTTTTTTTTGGTTGAAATATATGAATTTTGACATAATTATTGCGTATATTGGTCAACCTTATTTTTATATAAATAAGTTTATATAAATATTAATGAGTTTATAAAACTTGGTAAGTTATGAGTAAATTAACAAAAAATAATAAAAATAATAACAAAAAAACAAAAAAAACAAAAAAAAAAAAAAATAATTATACCGATAGTAAAAGGAAATTGATTTTTCCCCTAAATAGAAGTAATAAAGCCTAATTGTATTTTGAATCATAAGGAAAACACAACTCATATATATCTCTCATATATATATATATTTTCTTGAGATTGAATGTTCAAATCTCTATAAGATAAATCATTTTGTAGGATACAAATTAAATTTTGGATTGCACCATTGGCACTTTTACTTAATAAATCGACAATCCCTTGAATAATATAAATAAAATTAATTAATTAAGAGGCGTTTAGAAATAGAAAATTAGTATTTAGACAATAGTTTTAAAAAAATGATTCTCTAAATCAACCACTTTTGTAAGATAGTAAGGTTCATGTGCATGTATAACATACATCAGGACTTCATACAACTTCAAATACCTTAAGTAAGCGTTGAAAAGGATATGTGTATTTCAATATGAAAGATGAAGACTAAGATTGTGCACCTGATGATCAAACAAATTTCCAACCTCACTTCTCGCCAATGTATGCATGTTGGATGACCTAGGAGCTTCAACCAGATTTGAATAGAACATAACTATATCACTAAATTAGTTGTGGTTGGATACAGTGATGGATGGAAATTAGAACCAAATATCGACGAGGTGAGGAAAGGAAAGTAACAATCCTCGACTTTTTAAAATGCTCGAAAGGCAACGAGACGAGCAAAAACGACATTATTAAATGAAAAGAGATATGGGCAAGCAGAGCATGAGGACTGAAAAAATAATTCAGTAATGATTTCCAGAGATCATCAGGCAGGAATTGGCTCAGTGGCTTTATTCAGCCATGCCTTCTCGGATTCATCCAAATAAGGAGCAAGAATATCCCTACACTTTGAATGGTAACTGTTCAACCAATCCAATTCCTCAGATGTGAGAAGACTTGTGTTGATCAACTTTCTCTGGTACGGTGCCTAACCCACAACCAAAAGTTACCATGATTAAAAATTGCTTCACTATTTTAACAAAGATTGATGAAAATAAAAAGGTTTACCCATGTTATGTGCTCGAATGATAAGTAGCCTTTATCGCCAAAATTAAATTTTGTGTCAGCGTTCTTTACTATAAGTACATTCTCCAATCTAATACCGAAGGCACCATCCTCGTAATAGCCAGGCTCTGAGAATTTCAGTTAGAGATATCAGCAAGAAATGGTTCTAGGACTAAAAATCTAAGCTATTTATGTTTCTGAAATCCAACTAAATAACCGAGTTCAGAAACCTATCTTAGGTAGGTTTGGTTAGCTATTTGTTCGACCAATATGGAAAGTGAAACCGTGTAACAAAAGAGTTCAATAGCAAGTGTTAATGAATATCATTGACGCCCTAATACTTACCATCCGTAACAGTCATTGAAGCTTGAAGTGGAACATTTCGAGCACGAGGTCTGAAACTAATTAAATGAGGCCCTGATGAGAAGATACTAAGAAATCATTACTTTGATCACAACTAATTATTGAATAAGAAATGTGGAAGACAATAGTTTTTCTTTACCTTCATGAACATTAAGGAAAGAACCAATTCCATGGCCAGTGCCATGTAGATAATCCAGACCATCCTTCCACAAAGGAACTCGAGCAAGAATATCCAATTGCTGGCCTGTAAATAGGAAGTCAAATGTATATTTGATCAGCTTATTGTGAAAAAAAAAAAAAAAAAAAAAAAAAAAAAAAAAAAAAAAAAAAAAAAAAANGAGTTCAGAAACCTATCTTAGGTAGGTTTGGTTAGCTATTTGTTCGACCAATATGGAAAGTGAAACCGTGTAACAAAAGAGTTCAATAGCAAGTGTTAATGAATATCATTGACGCCCTAATACTTACCATCCGTAACAGTCATTGAAGCTTGAAGTGGAACATTTCGAGCACGAGGTCTGAAACTAATTAAATGAGGCCCTGATGAGAAGATACTAAGAAATCATTACTTTGATCACAACTAATTATTGAATAAGAAATGTGGAAGACAATAGTTTTTCTTTACCTTCATGAACATTAAGGAAAGAACCAATTCCATGGCCAGTGCCATGTAGATAATCCAGACCATCCTTCCACAAAGGAACTCGAGCAAGAATATCCAATTGCTGGCCTGTAAATAGGAAGTCAAATGTATATTTGATCAGCTTATTGTGAAAAAAAAAAAAAAAAAAAAAAAAAAAAAAAAGGAGTAGAAAAGGTGAGAACTCCAACCATTTGTGCCATTTGGAAATCTTGCATTTCCCAAAGTAATATGGCCTTTGAGAACCTGTAAAGATGTCGCTTCAGTAAGACAAATCCAAATAGCAATATAAATTTAGGCAGTTCATATAGAAGGACTTCCGCCTTATTGATAATCTCCATTCTTAACGTGCGGACAAGCAAATTCTAATAATGATCTTTGGGCCGAACTTTTAAAGAGACATCGTGACAGTAATGACAGTTTGCTAAACACCTAAGCCAACAACTATTCCATTTATATTATTCAAAACCATATGATTTATAATTCATTTCATATTGTTGCAGCTAGCATAAATTAGTTTCCCCGCATAAGGTTTCAATTTCTTAATTAATTCATTAAATAGTGCTTAATAGTGCTTAAGATATAAATACATATATTCGTAGCCAACCTGAGCATAGCTCGACTAGTTATTAACGCATATGCCTTCAACGAAGAGGTCAGAGATGTGAATCCTCCACCCAAAAAATGGAACTCAAAAGAAGAAAAAAAAGATGCATGCGTATTTGTTGTACACAGACGAGAATACTACCCAAATAGAAGAATATCCTTATCACTACAAAGTCTAAAAAAATCAATCTTAAGTTCAAAAAATAAAAATCTATCCATCCCCAATCAGAAACAAATTTTGACTGGTGAACCAAACTCTAACCTACCTGAAAGTAACAAAACAGTCCTGACAAGAAAGGTATATGATTCCAGAAAACACCCTCCTAATCACAATGCAAACTGAATGGACTTGACCTTCTCCATGGGATCAGTCTGATCTTCTTCAAGGAAGATTGACATTTAGAAAGTACTAGAAAAGCACTTGCATGCAAAAACTCACGGTGAGCAAATTAGGATTAGAATACTTTACAAAGATCTAGGGGATTAATAATTTTACCCTTCTATGGAACTAGAAATCAAAGAGAAGTTTCTTTTTCTTCCAACAAGACAAGAAATTTGGAAGAAGTTCAAGTCGTGAAATGATGCTCAATTCTATGAGCTCAAAGGGAGAGTAACGAAGGAGCAAGAGAACCTTTCAAGGTAACTCTTGAAAGGTTTCTGAACAATGGATATCATAAGTTTCATGGCTTCTGAGTTCTTTACTCTCTAATCTCTTAATTATTATTCTTCTCTGACCAACTAAAGTAGTTATTTCTATAATCTCCTTTGACAGTTAAAACATTTTGTCTGCTTCTTTTGTTCTCTTCATACATTGATGAAAAGAAAGTTTCTTGGTAAAAAATAATAAATATAATATAAATAACAGTTAAAAAGCACACTAAATTCTACAAGGTTAACTAATTTGTAAAGTCGGTTGATACAGAGCCAACTACAGAAAAGAGAACAAATACATAAAGCAATGAACTTTTTCCTTAATAATCAAAGTAACTCACTGCAGTATAACAAGCTTTTTCATGAGCTGAAGGTAATCCAAAATGGACTGTCCGTGTGATATCAGTTGTTCCATCCAAATACTAGAAAATATACAAAAAAACAAAAAAAAAAAGTGTGAAGAATTGAAACAGAAATAATTTCATCAACAAAAACTGCAGAATTAATTTCATCAATGAAAAGTACGACCACTAGGGTTAGGAGTCAAAGCAGAAAGAAGATCATCATTAGCATCATTTTGTGCTAGAATACCCACTAACCTGAGCTCCTGAGTCAAAAAGATACATGCTTTCAGGATCCAACTCGGCACACGTCTCTGCTTGTGGTCCATAATGTATAATTGCAGCATTTGGACCAACAGAGGAAATAGTAGGGAAACTTAGGCCTCTAAAATGCTGAAAAGTAAGAACAAAATGTAAGGCTGAAAGTTCGCGTCATTTACACTTGAAGAAACAAGCGTGAAAGTAAGGAGGTAAGTAAAGGTTGAGAGTCAGAGGGAAGTAGTTAATTGTTGGAAGAATTGTCTTTTCTATAGTCGGTCAGCTTTTAGTGAAGTCAACAGAAGAACGACAAGTTAGGTAGCTGCTGTCTCATGCTGGATACTGGACGTATAGGGAAGGAAAAAGGGAAAAGGGTTAGACTGTTGGCGGTAGAAGCTAGAATAGTTTCTGGATCTTGGAAAGAAACAAACTTGTTAGGTTCTATCACAATCAATCCCTATCATTTCCAAAATCAGCACGCATGTAAAGACAATTAAGACAGGCATTTTCTATTCAACCAATGAAAATTGTGGGCTTGTGATGTGCATGCTAGAATGCAAATTCAAATAAATATAAGTCCAATTCAGTATAACTAACATATATTTAGAAAAGAAAAAAAGTTCTGCCGTCAAGTTTTTCTCTATTTTCATGGAACTAATCCTCAATAAAGTCTCGATTTTAGGTTTATCTCTTTTTGCAGCATGACTAGCTTTATATTCTTAGATAAATGAATCATTCTTTAAAACGTCTTTTAACATATTCTGCTCTGCTGAAAGTCTGCGTGGCTGCTGATGAAAATTCTCAAAAAGGCCAACAAATATCTGAGCCTCTGAAAGAAATGAATGCACAGGATGTAGGAGGATTAGCTAATGCTGGCCAATGAAATAAGAAGGGCTCCGCAGTAACATGTAATTCTTGGCTGGGCTACTTTAGAATAACTTATTTTGTAATTGAAGATGTGCCTGCTTCTCCAGAAGTATGCTAGACTTGAGGTTCCGAGTAAATTTTAATCACTTTTATTCTTCGCTATATCGTATATTTATTTTAAAGAGGGGAAAAAAACATCCATAAACATACAGATTACAAAGTGAAACATGTAAAAGATGAAACTGACCTCCTAGCTGAATCTTGAATGGACTAAATTGAACAACTTATTATGCACTTACTTACAGGTATGTTTGTTTCTCCAGAAGTATGCTAGACAATGGGTCCAGAATAAAACTTAATCATCTAACATTCTTAGTTTATATTGTATATATTCATATCAAAAAAGAGAGGAGCGAAAACATGCATAAGTGTACAGACTGAAACATACTAAAAATGTAGCTAACCTTCTTTGATGCTCGGAAAGCTTCAAGCTTATCACTTACACTAACTTCTGTCAGTTTCTCCGAGTCCCTAACATGATTTGTTTGACATTAAAATAGGATTAGTCAGATGTCTCCAAAGGGACGATTTTAAAATATGATTAGTAAAATGATGTCTGCAATGTCAACGATGTGAGCATGTTGAAGTTGGCATAATTTCTTTTCATCAACAAGAACATTTTTGCTCCAAAAAATTGCAACAACGCTGATGGCTTAATCATGAAAATGAGTATAGAACTCACGAAGGTTTGGGCTTCCTCACTCCATCCCCTTCCAGAAAGTAACCAGAAGCCCCATAAGTCTCTTGCAGCTGCAATTTTTAAACCGAGCTAGGAATCAGAAAGTGTAATATGAAACATCTATATCTGTTTTTTGGGGCTCAGTAAAAGGTCAACTGAAGTGAATGTAAACGTTTTATCAATCAACACGATACAAACTTTAGATGCTAGGCTTCACATACCTGCTTGTCCAGCCACACAAGATATTGTACAACAGCTGCACCATCCCGAATGTGTGCATTCTTTAGTCCGTCCAACTCAACAGAGTTCTATAGAATAATTGGTCGATCAAAGTAGTTAAGCAATGAGAAAAAAAAACGTCTATGAAAAGGAATTTCATTTTAACCATGTTGTTCAAGTTTCAAGAAGAGGTTCAATAAATTGAAAGTTGACTGTGAGGAACAGATAATAAGATCATGTTATAATTTATTCATCCCAGACACCAGTGTATTGGCTTTATGCTTGAACATGATGATAAAATTAACAAACACGACCATATCATTCTTTGAAGGAAAAAAAAATAAAAAGTGACAGGGAAATCAAAATGCTACCTTGAGAGCTTTTGCAAGAGCCAATGGCGACTGTTGCAGGAGAACTTCATCAGAGTTCAGTTTAGAATACAAAGCATAGCAGCATTGTGCAGGATCAGCCCATATGAGGCCAGAACTCTGGCTTTCTACTTTAGTTCCATTAGATCCTGCAATGTCGATTGAACTAGATGACATGTTAAGTTGATTAGATGCAAGTGAGGACACATCTGTTATTACTGCACTATAGTCCCGAACTTCAATTCCATTTTTTTCCATGTACAAGCGCACCTGAAGATGAGATATTCACTTTGAGCGGTCTAAACCTTAATAAACAGAGTTAAATGTTAAAAGAAAACAAAGCTCAAAATTATGCTCCAAATATTTAACCTCTTTTTTAAAAGAACTACTGAAATCAAATACTATAATGATATCCAAAATCAACGATTCCTTTCTATTTTATATGCACAACTTTTATGATACAAAACATGACGCATGTGTCTTGGCACACCTCATCAGAAACCTTCCTCTTCTCCACGTAAAAGAATGCTGAATTGAGTGTCACTATTGCAAATGCATGTACAACTGGACAGTATGACACATCACTCCCACGGATGTTGTACAACCAAGCTACCTGCATATTTTCATTTTTATAATGTATTGCATCATATTAGTAAACAGGATGCATTCTTTGTAAGAGGTAGGTAAAACATCTAAGACAGAAGCCTCTGGTCCAATCAGAAAAAACCAACACAAGAACACAACACTATTTTAATAAGCACGGCTGAAGAAAGAAAACTCACTTCATCAAGTCCAACCACAATTAAACCATGAGCTTTCTCTCGCGAGAGCTTTGCTCTCAAAGTCTTCAACTTATCTTCAACAGAGCGGCCAGCATATTCAAGTGGGTGTATGATAACAGGATTTATTTCTGGTGGTGGTCGATTCTTCCAAACTTCATCAACTAAGTTTGTGGAAGTTTGAACCAGCTTCTGCTGCTTCTTGGAAAATGTGTGGATCCACTTTTGTGCAGTGTCCACTGACACACACCAAGGATCCACTCCAACGGCTGCATCCGCTGGCAGATTCTGATACAAAATTGAAAAAACTAACTCAGCCTGGCAAGAAGCAATTATCTTCATACAGAACAATATGAGCCGTATTTGATGATGATGATGTTTCAAAGTCACTTCAAGAATTTAGCATTGAAGATAAGGACAGAAATGATAGGTGGCTTTCCGCCCAATCAAGGAAAAATTTACAAATGCATCATGAATTATGAAAACTTTTAGAATCTCATTTAAACTCCAAAATCCTACCTCAGGACATGTAAAACAAGAATCAACCAGAACTAGGTGTTCATATTTAGAAACACAGAACAACAACAACAACCGTCAGTATAACAGCACAGGAGATCTGAATAATTGTAATTAAGTTCAAAAAGAGTGTTTGATATTACATTTGTATGCAAAACTGAGAAAAATTTAAACCATTGACGGAAAACACAGTGTAAATAGTTTGGGAAGTTTCTAGTAGAAACCCAAATAGAAGGGTTACAGTAGTATTTGAACAGTGCATCTTCACTTTCATTAATTCCAAAAATAAATTATGAACTTAAGTTTCAAGTTCCCCTTATTGTAATGTGAAGTGAAATCATCAAATAAACTGTCACATACATCTGCCATCCAGAGATCTTCAGAAGGATCCTCTCCAATTCGCATAAGTTTCCACTGATCACTAAGCTGCTGAATTGCCTGCAGAAAATACCGGCCATCGGTCCACAGTAAGGCTTGTTTCTGGGTTATAAGTGCCAGACCTTCATAAAAAGAAAAGGATCCAAAAGATGGAAAAGGATCAAAGAGAGTGAACTTGAACAGTGATCATCAAATGGGCTGAGTAGACAACTCAGAAAGCATTTTCTACTCTCTATTAAAATTGCAACAGAAATTCTAGCTACGATTAAAAAAGTGGAACTGACTAATGATCAAATATGGTTAGGCGCCATGGCAAGTCATAATTAAAATTATTAGTTTTCTTTTTTATGGGACTAATAACAATTATTATTAAAACTATCAATAGTTCGTATTGGTTGTACACGACATCAATTATCCTTTAAAGGTAGAGATCAGTTAATGTTTAAGCCGTAATAAAATCTTTTGAAACTTTCATAATGAATCTCTGAGATTTTGATTGCCTTCACTTAGTGGATTGTAAGTTTGAGAACCTTTCTATGTTACGCTCATTTTTATCAGTGAACTTTACATCTTTCTTTTTGAAACTAGGCATCTTTCCTTAGTGGATTCGCTTGGCCAGATGTAGATTCATGAAGTAGTAAACCAGCATAAAACTTTTGATCATCCTCATTCTTTCTTCGCTCCTCCATATTTTTTTTTAAATGCAACATCAGTTAGTAGTATAAACTTCACTGAAGCAACAAAAATAAAACGTAGTGGTTATAAAAACTTTCTTACTGGCAATACTTACCAGCACTTCCGGTGAAACCTGAAACAAATTCACGTCGCTTATCTCTCGCAGATACGTATTCACTCTGCAACATAATTAAGAGGACTATTACACACAGACAACCATTATTAACCACATAATACTCCCATGACAAGAAATCAAAGAAAGAAAAAGAAAACCGCCATAAAATGTATTACAACGATAATGAGAATAAAAAAAGCGAAATGTCAAATTAGGAAGACTACTGCACAAGAGATAAACTAAACAGGTCATCTCAGAACTCGCACTTAGCGACCTGATCGATCAGAAATAGACCATTTCAGACTTTCAATCATAACTCAAGAAGCGAAACGTGGAACAAATAGCTCAATACAGATTCTCCGAAAATTAACCGGAGATAAAACTTCAGAAACCGCAGAAGCTAGTTATTGATTGATACAGCTGATTGGAAGCAGGAGGGAGAAAACCTGGTGATAGTCCTCTGAAGGAACAACCAAGGCGTCAAGCGGAGGATTATGGGACGCCATTAGAAGTCTCAAAGCGCTCAGCGTATCCGCCATCTCTCCCTCTCTCTTTCTCTCTCTCTGCTTCTCTCGTCTCCCTCGCTGCTCAGTTTTGTTCTTTTGTGTCCTATAAGAAAAATCGAATCGAATATTTAAAATAACAAATAAAAAAAGAGAGGAAAATTCGTAACAAATATCTAAAATTCAGTGCCAATTTGGTAAATTTGAAAAATCAAGAGGTTTAGGTGCAAAATCTTCCCCAAAAAAATGCAATTTTGGTCCTCTTTTCTTTTTTAAATTTTAAGTAATTTCAAAATAAAATTAAAAGCGATTAAATTTTATTTATAAATTTTGTTATTGGAAAGAAGAAAAGAACGCGAATGAAATGAATTCCTGTCTTAAATCTAATCCAGCACATGATCCTTCCTTATTTTGTGGCTTCCTCTTCTTCATTAATTGATTTTTTTTTATTACATCTAATTTTTTATAAAATTGAGACATTCGATTTGATTTTAATTAGAAATTATTAATAATTTAATTATATAACTCTTAAATATCATATACACATAAAATATATTATTAGTTATTATTATGTTGATTAAAAAAATATATTGACACATTAGTTAGTCGTGCATTTTAAAAATATGCCAAGGGTATTCTAGTAATTTGACTTGTGTATGGTTTCTGTCATAACTCTTGATTGTTTGAAGTAGACAGCATTGTGACCAACATCTTGCCTCGCCAACGCCCCACCCGTCGGCTACTTATCAAACCACGAGCTTTCAACGCCTCTTCCAACATGCGCTGCTGGGCGGTTAGCTTCTTCCTGAATGTGGTAAATTCTGTCCAAGGCTAAATATGGACGAGAGACCGATAGAAAATAAGTACCGTGAGGGAAAGATGAAAAAGACTTTCAAAAGAGAGTCAAAGTGCTTGAAATTGTTACGAGGGAAGCGGATGGGGCCAACGATGTGCCCCAATCAAATCTGAAAAGGTGATAAGCCAGTCCGCCAATCGACTTGGGACATGGACCGACCAAAGCTCAAGCTTTTGTTACGTTTGTGGAGACGTCGTCGTCCCGATCGTGACTAGCAGACGCGCCTTTTGCCGGCTTCCATGCAGAATTGTTTGCTAGCTGTTCAGTAGTCAAACACATTGCTTTTGGCATATGTTCCACGGTGTTAAACATTAGTGGCCCTCTTCCTCTTGATACCTTTGGATGTTCTTGTCGTGCTCAGTCTGGACGTTGTTCATGTCTCATTCGTCAACGTGCCATCAGGTCTTGAAATAGCATCCTTGAGTAAAACATTATACAATTTAGTCATGTTACAACTTTTCATTATATAATAAGAGAAGTAAATAATGAATTCTTATTCTTCTTACCTAATTTGCAGGAATATAAAACTCTAAGTTTATCGCTAGCAGATATTGTTCACTTTGGCCCGTTACAAATTGTCATCAGCTTCACGGTTTTAAAACGTGTCTACTGAAGAGAGGTTTTCACACCCTTATAAGGAATGTTTCGTTCCCCTCTCCAACCGATGTGGATCTTACACTCTATAACAAGGTTTCATCAAATCTCGAAGGGTTACAAGAACAATCCAACAAAACCACACCCAAAAGGGAAACAGAAGAGAGAAAATGGATGGTTTCTCAAAGTTTGCTGCAACCAGATCTGTTCCAAGCAGCATATATATACTGATAGAGGTAGAGGACAAAGGAAATAAAGAAGAAAAGGCACCAACCTCAAGTGTGGAGCAGATAGACAATAAGAGGAAGTTGAAGCTGCTTCAGTTGATGCTTGGATGAGTCACTGCAAGAAAAAGGGATGGATGGATGAAAATTACCAGATTATGACTGTCCTACCGAAGGACGAATTCGAAACCCCAAAACGTGAGGCCGTGAACCGTTCTAGCAACCCGAACCCCCTAAAAATGAGATATTCTCGTGTCGAATAATCAATACAAAGAAGGTTTAATAAGAAAATTTCCACATTTCACAATTTTATTTAACAAACACCATATCCATGAATCATAAACCATGTACAGAAAGACGATAGAAAAACAATCCCGCACAGGGCATTGTATGTTTTGCACAATCATGTAACGTAGAAAAAATGCCATACAAACACAAGAACACTATACTTTGAATGGAGACAGGAAAGGGAAGAAACAATCATAAATGAGGGTCGAGTGCTGAAATCTGAATGAATTCATTTTTTTTTTTAACAGAAAACAAGACATTTTATCAAGCCTGGAAAAGCTTCTTGACTGTGGCAGCCATGTATTTGCCCTGATGCTCTGCAAGCGCCAACTCTGTTTCGCTTGGCTGTCTTGAGCCATCACCAGCAAAAACTCCTGCACCATAAGGAGACCCCCCTCGTATTGTGTCTATCTTGAACATTCCAGCACCAAAAGTGTAGCCTATGGGAACAAACAGCATTCCATGGTGTGCTAACTGGGTAATTGCAGTCCACCTGCAACAATAAGTGCAATTCCAGGGAGCTTTTTAGGATCAAACCATTGTAAATTGAACCAATTCATCATTTCTTTGCGTAATGCATGAAGGGCTTCAATGTCTATCTAGCAACTTAAAACCTATACAATAAATCCTCCACGAAGTGCTAACAGACTTCAAATTGAACAAGAACCGAAGTAGAAGGAAATCCATATGAACCAAGTTATGAATTTAAATGACATTCCAGGATTTTTCAAAGCAAGCCTCATGGATAAAGAAATGGTTTATTGAAGCATAGCTGCCTGCAATTTATCTATAAGTCAAGTGATTAAACCTGAGGCATTCAGAATTCCTTTGGGAGTCAAAAACAGAATGAATTGCAATGAGTGGAACAACAATCAAGGGTATTTCCATTGTTTACCTAAAGATTAAGTCAAGATTAGTGCCTCAAGAGTCCGAATTAAGCAAACCAGCTGGAGCTTGATTTTCAATTGAGTATGTTATATGTGGAACCATGTGAATAAATCATCCATATACCCCTAGGCCATATCAAATTGACAAGTATCTAATTGCTACAGAGGCAAGAGAACAATGGGTTCGGGATAGAATTGGCTTACGCAGTTGTTTCTTGGCCGCCCCCTTGAGTCCCTGTGCTAACAAAGAATCCGCCAGGCTTCCCTGCAAGCTTCTGCTCTTTCCAGAGCTGCCCCGTCGAATCAAAGAACGCCTTCATTTGCGCTGCCATACACCCAAACCTGGTGGGAAAACCAAACAAAATGCCATCCGCAGCCACCAATTCAGCGGCTGAAATCTCCGGAATGGACGGGTCCTTGGGCGGCGCTTTCATCTGGTTTAGAACCTCCGCCGGCAAGGTCTCCGGCACCCGGTACAAAATCCCCTCAAACCCATCCACCCCATCAACCCCCTTCTTCATCCTCTTCGCCAAGCTTTCGACGTGACCGTACATGGAGTAAAACACTATGAATATCTTCAATTTCTCAACTGGATGCGACACCGAGACGGAGACCTCGGAAGTTGCATTGCCCGATGAACCAATCGGTGGCTGATCTTCTTCAATAGGGATCGGGGTACTTCTTTCGCCATCATGAGCCCTTGCATCATCTGTGGCCTCGGCGGCAATAGACGAAGGCACCTTCTTCTTGCTCGGGACACAACCCCCTCCCTTACCCATGAAGAATACAAGATTCTGCAACGATGGTCAAACGAAATGGTAGGGTAAGCGAGAAAATAAAACTCCAATGGCGGAATTGAAGATGGAGGGTATGATTCCAAATTCCGATGGCTTTTTGAGAATTGAAAAACAAAACAGGATGAGGTCGAACCCGTAAAGAGGGTGAATTTCAAACTCCAGGTCCCACCGGTGGAATCCAAATTTCCGAAAGCCTCCAAGTAGGACTGGTTTGGAGGCTTTGGATCCAAACTTCTTCTTTTGACTTGGGTGCTTACAAATTGGATGATTTACGCCACCTAAAACTATAAATTTAATAAATTAATAAATTAAAGAAAACAAAATAGGACTAAAAAAAATTGTTTTTTTTTGTTAATAATGTCCTTTTTTTAGTCCTACCACGCTACAGTTAAATCAATTAAATTAATTAGTTAAACTTATGAAATTGGTAATTTAAGAAAATAAAAAAAGGAGAGAAATTATGATAAGGGAGAACAGATGGCAGGTAAAGATGAAAAATGGTCCGAAATCATGGCTGACACTTCGGGGCTTCGGTTTTTTTGTTGGGCCTGTTGCCAGCTAATGGGACCATTATGGTGTTTTTAGTAATTTTCCTTTCTTCTAGAAGCTGTTCTCTTCTCGTTTTTTTTAAACAATTATTTATTTTTTATTTAAATTTAAATAAAAACAACAACAAAAATGATTAATTTAATTCAATTATTATTAGTTGGTAAAACTGCACATGCTTCAGTTGGCATGTATATTAGTTTTAGTTTTAAAATATACGAAAATGCTTAAAATTAAATTATTTAAAAGAAGCTTCGAAGAAGGTCCCATGTTTTTTTAATCAGAATCCTTGACTGGGCCGTCAGGAAATGGCCCAATACCAACGGACTGGGCTCTGTGCAAAGATAGGCCCAATGGGCCTATCCAAATCAAAGCTACGGTTTTTATAGAGAGGAGAAACCCACACTTCGTTAATTAATTAATTAATTACAATTTTTAATAAAGTAATTTAATTAGTATATTTTATTTTAAAAAGTATAAAAAATAAGCGTTGATTCTTCTGGTGGAAGAAATGAGACCAGGTTGGGAATTCAAAATAAGAGGGCCACGTAAGCACATCTGGAAGATTCAGCGGCCAATTAAAAAAGAAAAGAAACAAAAGAGCAGCTGAAGAGTGCATGTGCATGCCTCAAACCCTAATTAATTTAGTTTAATTTAATTTAATTTAATTTAATCTAATCAATCTCTCTACCAATCAAAATCGAACACGTTAACATTTTACATTCTCGCTCCTCGATGCTCCACGTTTCCCACACCATTATTTTATAATTACAATTATTATTATTATTTTTTACCATTATAATTTTTTTAATATATCTTTCAATTTTAGAAAATATTGAAATTTTAAAAATTCATTAAATACTTTTTAATTTTCGTAACCTAAATAGGTATAAATGTGTAATTTTAGAGATAAACTCATAATTTAATTGACTTTTAAAAGATAACTAACTAGGCGTTTAGGAGATTGGCTGTGTGCTTTATCCCAAAATGGAGACTAATAGGCTACTTTTATCGTGTCGTTGGGGGTGCCTTAGACCTTGGAGCTTGTTTGTCTTGATGTTTAGTGATTAATTCCAAAATATAAAAGAAAAGCATGATTAAATAAGATGTGAAGGGGAAGTTGGAAGATGAGGAAACATGGGTTGGATGTGTTGGGATAAACATGACACCCATTAGTTTGAGACCCTCTTTCGTTAATTAAACGCTTAAACATTATATTAAATATAATTAAATAAATAATCAGACAAAGGAATCACATTTCCCACGCTCATGTGCATCTCTTTTTGCTGCCTATCTGTATTTCTCCATTATTATTATTTTTAATTGTAATAAATAAATAAAAACCCTAGGTTAAGCAAACCGCATTAAATTTAATAAACGGTCTGTCTCCTCATTTAACCGCTTTATCAAAGTCTAAACATACGCAAATTCCAAGAACAGGAGCTACGCTTAGGCTTATTACTTTGTTTATTTTATTTACCCCAAAAAAGGAAGGAAAAGCCGATGTGGGAATGTGGGTATGTGGTGGATGGTTCTTTGACAAATCCACCTTAAATCCGATATGGTTTGCTTAAGAAGGTAAAAGGGAGAAGAGTTATCCCTAAATCCAGGCACGCCTCAAGTGTTCCAATTAGAAAGTGGTAAAATCATAGCACATGACAGGATCTCACAGAATTTTTAAATGATTCTTTTACTGTAAGTGGTTATTTTTTTAATTCACCGTGTCATTCATCCAATCTAGTCCACTCCACTAACAAAGCTTTCCCCTTTCATTTCATAGCCTCTCTTTTTCTTTTAACTTTTGAAAGTAGTTGGGATGAAACCGACATGGAAAATGAGTCCAAAGAAGTACGTAAATATAAAACCCCATTTTTTATGGCCATTTTGTTGAATGCAATGTCCACGTACCATTCACTGAATTGAACCAAAACCAAAAGAAAAAGGGAGATACGTTTTTACGCATCATCAAAGAAATTCCTCGAGATAAAACTTGACAAAACAAGTAAAGAAGAGCCCCACAATGGGTCTTTACTCGCTGTGATCCGATTCATAATTCTTGTTAACTAATTAATGGGTGGTCTTTAAAAGGGAATTTGCGACGGTGGAAAGTGTGGATAGAATTTATAAGCGTACATCAAATATCTAGATATGATAAACTATAATTCAGTACTAAATATTCTTAACAAATATTACACTCGTACGTACTTTTCATGTCCAATTAGCTAGAAAAAAATCTAATTAGCTGCAAACTTTTTATCAGAGTATTTGTAACGATCCATGTCCAAGATTTAGTATATAATGGCGATATGACATGATCAAGTTACTTACATTATTCACTTCTAAGATTGAAGACTATTCCTACAAACTAACACAAGTCACCCAACATAGAATTGTTTCAGGCAAAACACGCTTAATTATATCTGTTAGATGAACACAGACTCTCCACAATAGTATGATATTGTACACTTTGAGTGTAAGCTCTCATGATTTTACTTTGAGCTTCCTAAAATGTCTCACTCAATGGACACATAGTATTTTTTTATTATAAACTCATGATCATTTCCTAAATTTGACACGTAGAATTTTCATCCCAACAATATCTAACGCCATAAAAAATGAATAATAAAATCGTACTATATGTTTTTATTGTCTTCGAGGTGGTAGTTTTTAATTTGCTTTGTTTTTTGTTTTAAATTTTCCCATTTATAAAAATATTTTTGCCATCCCTCTGGTTCGGGAAAGTCTGTGTCTACTCCCCTTCCTACGTCATCATATTTATCCACAAACTTTTAATATGTACATGTTCAAATACTATTTATGTAAGTAAGCATCTATTCCAACTAGCTTTTATGTTTGTGTAATTTTAGAATGTAATAATTTATTTTTAACTTTCCATTAAATATAATGAATAAAAAAAATCGGCCAGATCTTGATATAGTAGGTAAGCTATGAAGGAGTTGCATTATTTAAAAAAACATATATAATTTTAAATTTTAGATTATATTAGGTTCTCAATATTTAATTTAAATTCACAAATTAACCCTCTTAAATTTCACATTGTCAATATTGATAAAAATTTTATTTGTTTAATAAAAATAAATTTATAATGTGGTGTCTAATTGCTAAAAATATATATATATATATATATATTTTTATATAACTCAATTAATTTAAATATTATTCTCTCAACAAAAATAATAGAGAAAAAAAAAAAAAATCTCCAGCCAATTAATTAAAGAGTGAATCACGTGTCATGATGTGCCTCACTTCTTTAATGATTAATTTTTTAAAGTAAATTTTAATACTCAATACTCAAAAAAATAGATTCCATTTCCAACTCAAAATTAATTAATTGCATGCCCACACCCTCATAAAGATAAAACCGGGCACAACTGTGATTACATAAAAATAAAGAGGCAGTTCTGCGAATAAAGCAAAATAAATCCTATTTATTCGTCTATAAATAAGTTGCAAACCAATCCCTGTTTAAACCAACCCCCAACTCTTCTCCCACTGCCCAAAATTGAACGCCGGTGACAATGGCCGCCGTCAATCTCCGACCAGACGACGACAATTCTACACTCATCTCCCACTTCTACAATCCTGAAATTTACACCCAAATGCTACCCCAACAAGGTTCTTTAATTTTAATAACTCAAACCCATTAGCGTTCCGTTTTATCTTCTACGTGATTATTAATTCTATTTGATTTCCATTGTTTTTCAGGTACGGCAGAGGGAAACAAGCCGACGAAGAGACGGCGGAGGAGGAGCAGAGTGAAGGAGGTGGCCTCAACCGCCGGGTTGAAGAAGAGGAAGCTGAGTTCAGAGCAAGTGAAGCTTTTGGAGATGAATTTTGGAAACGAGCACAAATTGGAAACGGAGAGGAAAAATCGGTTGGCTTCAGAATTAGGCCTTGATCCAAGCCAAGTCGCCATCTGGTTTCAGAACCGCCGTGCGCGGTGGAAGAACCAGAAACTGGAACACCAATATTCCATTCTCAAAAAAGCTCACGATTCTGCTGTTCTCCAAAAAACCCATCTTCAATCTCAGGTTAGTTATTATAATTCCAACTTCAGAATATATTATAGAATATTAAATATTATATCTTAATTAATTTATATTTTTTTATATTAATGGATAAGTTTATATCATATTTAAAAGTGATGAATATTAACCTGAACCCACTTCCATTATATTTCTCATTTTTAACATGGTATCACAGTAAATGTCTTAGCCATGTCAATAGATTAATAAATCCTCAAATGTCGAACAAAAGACTAAAAAAAAAAAGGAGTCGAGCCTCGATTAAGGGGAGGGGTACTTTGTTCGAGATGACGTATTGGATTATGAAAGTTCCACATCGGCTAATTTAGAAAACGATCATGAGTTTATAATAAAATAATACTCTCTCCATTGGTACGAGGTTTTTTAGAGATGTCTCAAGCAAAACTACGATAGTTTATGCTCAAAGATATTGTTTGAACTTATCTTTTTATGTTTCTAAAATATTATTACCTTTTCATTTGCTTTATCTGGTAAGAAATTAACAAAATATGGTAATAAAATAACAAAATGCTTTTTTTTATTAGGAAATAATTAGATTTTTGGATGAATTCAGATAGAGAAACTGAAACAGCAACTAGCGGAAGCGAAGAATGAGATACAGAAACTGGTGGAAGTACGCGAGATCAACCGGAGGTCGTCGGTGACGATGGATGACGTGCAAGCGGCGGCGTGTTGGGGAGAGATATTAATGGAAGAATATGAAGATGTATTCTGCTCTATGCAAGAGAACAATTATAATCAACCAGTGGAGTGGTACCTTAATTATAATTATATGTACACTAATTAACCTATTTATTATGTCCACTAATTAATTAGTGTTTACTTTGTGGATAAACTCAGTCATACACCACCTAATGAAAAAGACAGAATATACTAAATACATTTTTATTTTAAGGTCATAAATCCTTATCTGATTAATCATTTATTTGTGACATATTTACTTTTAAAAGATTAATTGATTAAACTTTATATTTAATAAAATTTCAAAATTTAAATTTTCAATAGAGTGTTTTTGAGATTTGACCAATTAGGCCTTAAATTCGAAATTCATAGAAATGTAGGATTAGAACATATTATACATTTAATTTAATGTTAATAATAAAATTAATTAGATTTGAATAAATTATTATAAAAAACTTGAACTAAAAAACTTCCAAATGTAAATATTCCGTTGGTGGATATTGGGCCTACCATGGATTTTGAGCCCGATCAGCGTACTGTTGATGGGCCTCGCTATTGGGCCTAACATGCAAATTTAAACAGAAGTATGAAGCCAAAAAATATGAGATAAAAGTACGTCCCACAATTATAAATGCCAAAAATCAGCAAATATTTATTGTCACGTTTATATTTTACGATCACTAAAATGATTTTGGTGCATCCTGAAACGAACGACAAGTCGTGTCTCCAATTCTCCGATTACATGGGCCCCACCGTACGGGGTTCCCCAAAAAACGTCCAAAAATTTCCCGAATATTTCCGTAATACCAGAGCCACAATCTGCTACATCACTTAATTTTTGGCACCACGTGAGTCCACCAATCATGAAGCAGCCTTTAATCTGTTAACACGCGGCAGCGTTAGAACGATTCAACTGATGCAGGGTAATCATAATCAAAGAAAAGCAACAAGAATTTAATCATTTGATTAATACCAAAATTTATTGGTTTCACCAGAATGTACGTCACTGGTTTTTGGGTTTCGTTTTTTCCCTCTCTTTTGGCTTTGCCTCCTCCCTGTCCTCAACTTTTTAAATTCTTTCCAAATCAACGACATTCACTCGATTAAAGCCTGATTATTTGTTTTTGGGTTTTTAATCTCTTCTTTTCGTGTTTCATGTTTTCGTTTCCCGATTTCTGATACGCTTCATTCCCAATGGAATAGACTGAGTGAGGGAGTGAAAGTAGAAGGATCTCCAACAATGTCGGGCCATTCCGATGATGAACACTCCTGCTCCAACTCCAATTCCTTCAGGACAATTTCCAGTGCTTTAAGTCCCTTCATTGGGGTTCATGATGATGAAGATTTCGGTTCAGAGTTCGTCTTCAAGATCGAACCCAGTTTGCTCATTGACCCTCGTCGTTTGAAGATCGGCGAAGTTATTGGGGAAGGTTCATGCTCCATTGTCTATCAAGGACTGTACGTTTCCTTATCTCTCTTTTTTTTTTTTCCTGTTTGAGTTCTTACATTGTGCCATATGATTCTACCCTCGGTTTAGTATGATCTTAGTGTAATTTATGCGTGGGGAAATCTTTGATTGTTTTAAATTACTGGGTCAGCAGTAAAGAACAATATGCGTCTAATGCTTGCTTGCTGCCATAGATGAATTTATCGGTTGGTTGTAAAATGGAATGGGTCGTATCTGTTTGTTCTATGCTTGCAATAGGCCAAAACTTGACTATTCAAAAAACTGTGGTTTTGTTGCTAGTTTTGTGCACATAATGCATTGCAACGGCCAATGCAATTTAGATAAGGATTTTGATATTGTATAGGTACGATTGTCAACCTGTTGCCGTGAAGATTATACAGGCAAGCAGAACATCAGCTATAAGTCCTGAAAAGAAGGAGATATTTCAGAGGGAGGTTATGTTGCTATCAAGAGTGAATCATGAGAACGTTATTCAGGTAATTGTTTTTGTGAAAAACTCATAGAATTCACTCTAGTTTCTCACTATTATTTCGTTATGAAGATTCAAGACATCGAACAACTTGTAATTTAACTCTGTTTTGTAGTCTTTATGTTGTAAGATTAGTGTGTTTATGGATGGTTCATTTAGGTCTCATCAGTCTCTTTTTTGGTCAATCTGAGTACTTCCATTGGTTTTAAAAGGTTGAGCATGCGCTTTTTGTTAGGAATCAAGAACTTCCATAATGGTACAATATTGTTCACTTTGAGCTTAATCTCTTGTGCCCTTTGTTTTTGGTTTCCCCAAAATGTCTCATACTAATAGAGATATATTCCCTACTTATAAACCCATAATTATCCTCTTAATTAGCAACGTGGGACTCCCCCACCAACAATCTTCCATACTTCTTACTTAAACACACCAGTTTATCTTATAGATTAGAGTTAAACTAACCAAGGAAAACTTGTAGATTAGAGTTAAAACAAAGGGTTTTCCGGAAGCACATATGTAAACAGAACAAACTAGAGGAAAATATGATGGGTGATAAATCTAGTAATGGAGATGAAGATTGTACGTCTATTTAGTGGAACATACATTTAAATGTTCATCTTTTTCTGATTTCTTATTAGTTAGCTGACACCTTATTCTACTTAAAACAGTTCATTGGCGCTTCCACAGAGCCGACATTGATGATAATCACTGAGCTTATGAAGGGTGGAACACTCCAGAAGTACTTGTGGAGCATCCGGCCAGAGACCCCAGATTTGAAATTTTCCCTTAGTCTTGCTCTAGATCTGTCACGAGTAATGGCATACTTGCACGCAAATGGCATCATTCATCGCGACTTAAAGCCTAGTACTGTGCTGTTTCTCATCTACATTACTCTATCATCTTCCTGTCCATAGTCTCCAGAAGCCCTTTTTTTTTAAATTGAAGTTATTAAAATTTCAACTTAGGCACTTGAACTAGGACGTTGAGGCTATTTCCACTCTTCATGTTTACTCAGGCAATCTACTGCTGACAGAAGACAAGCAACGGGTTAAGCTAGCCGACTTTGGGTTGGCCAGGGAGGAAATATCTGGTGAAATGACTACTGAGGCTGGTACTTACCGTTGGATGGCTCCTGAGGTAACTTTTTTTCGTATGGTTTCAGGAAAGTTCATGTCCTAGTGTTATGTTCTGTTAATGTATCTATTTACCGATCAGCTATTTAGCATTGATCCATTGCCTGTTGGAGGTAAGAAATGCTATGATCACAAGGCAGATGTGTACAGCTTCTCAATAATTCTTTGGGAATTGCTGACAAACAAGACTCCATTCAAAGGCAGAAATAATGTAATGGTGGCATATGCCACAGCCAAGGTTTGATTTTGACATTAAAAGTATGTTCAGTTTTGCAATTCTATGTTGCTCTTATGAATTGATGAACCATTTGTTGATTCAGAACATAAGACCGAGTCTTGAGGACATCCCAGAAGATATTGCCCCTCTCTTGCAGTCATGCTGGGCTGAGGATCCCAATGGCCGTCCAGAATTCACACAAATCATAGATTCTCTTTCTAATCTTCTTCAAACATTTGTGTTAAAAGAATCTTCACTTCCCAACATGGACGACAAAACAGAGAAGGAGGTGGATTGTGCATCAGACACATCGGCTTCTCAGAGCAGGAGACAGCACAAGGCTAGAAGACATAGAAGCTCTTCATTCTGCCTCAAATGTTGCTACAACTTTTGCTTGTCTGATTGACCGACAGGTTTTGTTGGGGTTCCATGTCTTGGCAAATAGGTGTAAATGGTCGGATAGATTTGTTGATTTTCACATACAACTACAGGTTCGTAGGAGATGGGTTGGTACTCGGATCCAATTTTGTAAGAGACACACTGTACATAAAGGATAGGCAAAGAAATAGCAGGTTTTGATGAACAGGATGCTCATTTTTTGGTCACTTTTTAAATAGTTTCTGCCTTTCTGAGTCTGTGGGTTTGCTTATTTTGCTGTTTAAGTTCATGATGGCTTTAAAGAGGGTTGTCATGATTGTGGGCAAATTGTGGCTCATTGCAGAAAGTCCATCTGTTTAGTAAATCAAAAGCTGAGCTTTTTATGTTCTTAGCTTAATTTTCTTTTTCTATTTTCTAAACCTTTTTGTTTTTTATCATACTTATTGTTAAATTTATTTGAGGGAAACGAGTGTCAAAGATGACGTTGGCCCCTAAAAAAAATGAATTGAAGAGATAGAATGAGTGCTAGAAAAGATGTTGGACATTAAAGATGTTGGACATTAAAGGATGAATTGTGAAATCAGAGGAGGTAGAAATTTCTCCATAACGGGATATGGTTTAAGAACATTTTTCAATTATTAAATTTATAAATTTAGCAAAATATTTAAGAATTGTATTAATTTTATGAAGATTAATGGAGAGAAAAAACATTGGTACAATATTTAAGGTTATCCATTAGCTGTCACGATGAGTCATCGAAGTTTGGCTTCGTCACAAATCTGATCCAGTAAAACGTGGACAGCTGGAAGGATCTTTTCGCACGTGTCAATTGGCGAAACCCTAACCCGAAGCCGTCGATTAATCTTAACCCAGGTCATCCTAAAGGACACCGTTACACCGGATCCCCATCTCTCTGATTTCCACGCGCAGTCTTCTTCGTCGGCAGAGGCGGTTTTAGCGGTGGCGCCACTCTTTTCTTCCGCCGTACACTGCATCTCTATCCTTCCCGTAGCCACCGCCAGCCGACAACAATCACATTCGCTCTCACACACATAGTAACTAGGTTTTAGCCTGCGCAAAGTTTGTGGTTTCTTTTATGAGCCGCAGAGATCGGATTTGGATTTCGAGAGATCCAGAATCCACAATTCTCAGCCGTTGATCATCCAGTCAACAACCTACATATAGACACGCCTTCCACCTGGACTTCCACATCATTCCTCTTGAAGTTTTCTTGCGCCATGAAAGCAGGTCTCTCTCTCTCTCTCTCTCTCTCGCTAGTGTTTGGTTTCTTCCTGTACAGACACGTAGTGTATTGGAACATTTGGTCGTATTTGGTCCTAATTTTAGTCTCTTTTTTGAAGTTTTCTCATACGGCTGTTATTGTCGTCGAATTAAACTCAAGTTTTGGGATGTGGAAATATCTTGGCCGTCTTGTGGTTTTCGGATTCGATTCAACTTCTTTTTGGGATTATTTTCTTATACTTCAGTTTCTCAGACCAAGTTTTTTTAGTTTCACTAATCCTTCTTTACTTGATGACTTCTATTTCCCCCTCGATATGTGGCCGTCTATGTTTAATTCGAAGATTAACGGAATCCTCTGCAGCAATTTTATAAGCAATTCTGTTTTTAGGGGAAAAAATTGTTTTGCTCGAATGAATTTACATATATGGTTTGGGATTGGAAGCTGTGTTCTTATAAGCAGGTGTAGGTATTATATGTTAGATTCCCCATTTGGGATGTAAATTTCACATGTAGAAACATGTTCGATCGCAGAATTTTTCGGCGTTTATGTCGTAACCTATGATTAGGGATATGGAAGATTGGATCCCTGAGAACAAAATGTCATTAATTTCTATGATTAGAGAAAGTTATTCATTAGTGGATCTCTGGAATCAGTGAGACCATTGGAATTCTCACTAATTCCAGGAAGCAGATCCTTATTTGGGAATCTAAGTTCTAATATTATGATCTGATTTCCCGGCATCTAAATTGGTAGCAGTGTTGAATGATGGCCATCCTATTGTATCTTTAACTCTGTAGATTGGTACTGTACCAGTCCAACTATGAATTTATTATTGCACGACGTACTTGTTGAATGAAATTATGTTTTTTTTCCCTAAATTAACTATCCGAGTGTATCTCTCTCATTCATTGTTGTTGGTAACCTATTATCAGGTTGGTCGTAGAAATCATCTAGGACACCGGACTGTAACTCGGAAATTGTTGAATTATAGTCGTTTGTTTTCAGCATTGGTTGATGGGGACAGGGGAAGAGGGCACGCCTTCTAAAACTTCCAAGCCTCTCTCTTCATCTCAGGTGATTGAACCTTCCTTCCTTCTGCCAATTTTCATTCTCAAGTTGTTGATATCTTTAATTATTTTGATCATTACGCACAGGACATAGCTCCGGCACCTTCATATCCTGATTGGTCAAGCTCAATGCAGGTTAATATGGACGTTTGGGTTCTATACTAATTGCCTTTTTTGAATTCATCAAACGCCTAGAATAGTTTTGAAGATCTCGATTAATACTGCTATCTCAAAGTTTAGCCTCTTATGCAGGCTTATTATGGTGCTGGTGCTACTCCACCTCCCTATTTTGCGTCTACTGTTGCTTCTCCAACTCCCCACCCTTACATTTGGGGAGGCCAGGTACTCAAAGTCGCATGAAGTTTGATATTTTTCACAGATGACAATAAGGTTCCTATTTGCTTAATTTTGTATAAATATTTTTCAGCATCCTTTGATGCCACCTTATGGGACTCCAGTTCCTTATCCAGCTATATATCCTCCTGGGGGAGTTTATGCCCACCCCAATATCACCGTGGTAATCTTCATTTTACACGATGAGCTAGTGGATTCTATTCATTGTCAAATCAGTGATTCTTTTTTCTTCATGGTTTTATCTTAACATCATATGCTGTTTGCTCGGTCATTCGTTCTCATATTCCCACATAAATTACTAGAACGGAATAGAAGGATTTTAAATTGGTTCTTTACATGCTTTTCATTTGTAGACTCCTGGCTCAGCACCAATTAATGCAGAATATGAAGGAAAGTCCCCGGATGGAAAAGAAAGGGCCTCAAAAAAATCCAAGGGCACGTCAGGAAATACTGGTTCAGGTGGTGGTAGGACCGGAGATAGTGGAAAGGTGGCTTCAAGTTCTGGAAATGATGGTGCTTCTCAAAGGTATTTTAATTTGAGGCTTGGTACAAGTATTCTTCTTTAAATTCAGCCTCATCTGATTAAAAATTTCTGGTATTTGCAGTGCTGATAGTGGTACTGAGGGGTCATCAGAAGGCAGTGACGAGAACGCTAACCAACATGTATGTGCCTTTTTCTTCAAGATCTTTCATTCATCTGAACTGGTTCAATTATTACGATAGACTTGTACTAGTGAGATTATTCCCGTTCCTTTTAGGAATTGTCTGCAAATAAGAAGGGAAGCTTCAACCAGATGCTGGCTGATGGTGTGACTTTTAACTTTAATTGAAGTTATACTGCTCATATATGCTGCTAGCAATGCTGTAATTGAACTGCTATTTTCAGGAGCCAATGCACAAAACAACACGGGTGGACCAAATGCCAAATCTTCAGTAACTGGGAAACCCATCACCTCCATTCCTGGAACTAATCTGAACATGGGAATGGATTTGTGGAATAACACCACGGGTGCTTCAGGGGCTGGAAAAGTGAGAGCGAATGCCGTCTCCTCAGCCATTGGTCCAACACCGATGGTTGGTCGTGATGGTGTGATGCCTGAGCAATGGGTTCAAGTATGAGCTACCCCCTTGAAATAATCTCCCGACTTCACTTCATAGATTGGTATTCTTTTCGAGTCAAACTATAGGGGCAATGGATTTATTTATTTTGTTGAATTTTGTCTAATATGTCAATAAAGGTATCGACCCATAACAGTTTATTCTCATTTTATACATGAATTTTTTCAGTATTACACTCCTGGATACTTCTAAACGCTGTAAATTTTCGTTGAAATCTTCAAGTTTTGGTGTATTTGTTGATTGGTAGGACGAACGTGAGCTGAAAAGGCAGAAAAGGAAGCAATCTAACCGAGAGTCTGCCAGGAGGTCAAGATTACGCAAGCAGGTATGTATTCTCACTTGTGTTAACTTCAGCTGCCAATTTTGATATCCATATTGTGTGGTATATATGGAGCATAATATTTTAGCTATTTTTTACTTTCTTCCCTTGGGTTATGTGTTCTTCAGCGTTTTATTTTCTGCTATTTTTGACAAATATCACTTTTAACATTATTATTTATTTGTGACCAATAAATCTCTGTACCTCAGAAATTGCTTATTTTATTGACTCAGACCTTTTATTGGAATTTTTGCAAATTTTTGTAATGAAATTTTGAAGCAACATTCCTTGTGAGAACTGGGAAAATTAGTTCTATGGTTTTCCAGCCACTTATTCCTTCCATGAATGCCATAACAGAATCAGTATGATGCCTTCTAAATAAAATAATATATAATTGAATAACGTGAAATTGTTTATGGAAGGAATATCTTGGACTAGTATTACTGAAATGTTTCCCCATTTGTGGGCATCAGAATCACCAGTTTTTAATGCTATTAATGGCAGGCGGAGTGTGAAGAATTACAGGCGAGAGTGCAGACATTGAACAACGAGAACCGTACTCTTAGGGATGAGCTGCAGAGGCTCTCCGAGGAATGTGAAAAGCTAACATCAGAAAATAGTTCCATCAAGGTCAAATATTCTTTTCCTTCCTATGAAATATACCAAAGAATTAGTGAAGTCATGTCCTGAAATTAAACTCTTTAAATTTGTTGTTGGAACAACAGGAAGAATTGACACGATTTTGTGGACCAGAAGCATTAGCCAACTTTGAAAAAGGAATTGCTGCTCCTGCTGCCCAATCTCGCGACGACGAGGGTAAGGACTAAGGACATCAACTCTACACCATTCAAAAGCTATATGGATTCTGGACTGGGAAAGTGGGAACCATATTAACTCTGATTTATGATCTTGTCGTAGGAGTATAGGAATCTATTTTTCTGACGTATACGCTTGGCCCTGTTTCAATTGTAACATTATAATTTTTTTTACTCAGCACCATGGAATCAGATGGTGCATAGGATCAATACTGTAGGGGATTACAAATACTTATATAACTTGTGAAAAGAATTCTAATATTTCCTTAAGTATTCAGTTTTGTGTGAAAGGTATTGGAAAAAGGAAGACTAAGTCTGTTGATCGACACTATCTTAAGAGGCAAACTCATTTTTACAAGCAGCTACCTATATGAACTTCCAGGAAACCGGAGGTTGATATTGTTGCAACTACACCAGCGAATGGAAACTGTTGGCAATAAGTCGATCATCAATATCCGACTCTGAATCCAAGCTTAAGTCTTATTTGATCCTCGATTTGTTGGCACCTTCCAGCCTGATTTGGTCTTGCAAACCCAAGCCTTTCTACTGATCCAGAGGTTGAGATAAGATAAAGAGTTGAAAGAAATGGAATTACAAATTAACCAATAAGCAGGATATTGCTACGGTCTTCACCCGATCTCATTAGCCTCATAAACATGGTTCTAAATTACTGAATCTCTGGCTGACGTGCAGCAATGGTTTTCACCTGCAGTTGAAAATCGAAAAACAAACACTAAATATCGTTTGTTTAATCTCCAAAGAAAAAACTTGTATTGTTAGGGACTAGAGAGCATATGGGATCTCCTTAATTTTGTATAAAACAGCGGAGACTATAAAAGGTCTATATATTTATAAAGTGGATGGTTTTTAAGCCCTTTGAAGAGCTAATATTTCTGTGGAGGCAAGACATGACTATAAGAGGGAGGGTTACCACTTCATCTGAAACCGCCCCCAAGATCGTATGCCCAAGGAAGAGAGGATGCAGCTGGTACGTGTATAATTTCTCTGCACCCTGAAAATGAGCAACGATAAGTGTTGAAAAGCAACGAATAGATATGGAAGACTATAGTTCAGAACATATTTGGTTTAAATGTAGGAGATCTCTGAAGTGTCGCTCTAAGTGTTGTTCAAGGTCTATTTTGGTTCTTTGCTGAAAAGAAATGGCAGGAGATCTCTGAAGGAGAATAGGCGTTTCTTCCTTTCAGTTTATCTCCTTTCTGGCTCTATATTGATGTCCCTGACAAATATTTTATAATTATTAACTCCAATTGGTGAATCCTTTTGCAAACTCCGTAGGTACTCTCACAAGATCTAACCCCTTTTTTGGTCTTTATTACTTGTAACCATGGGTTTGTGATAAAATAGACTTTGTTTCCTATGAAAATTAGATCTAGAAATGCAGAAATCCATACATCAGTTGCTGGAGAAATCCATACTTAAATCAGTTGCTGGGGGAAAATGCAGAAACCCGTACATACATGAGTTGCTGGGAGCTGGACAAACAAGAAACGCAACTCCAGATGATAGTACACTGGAAACCTGCAAATTCACAGCAGATAAAAAAAAAAAAAAATACAGCAACGATCGGTGTCAGCAATGTATATGTCTCCTAATTGATATCAAGGACTAGACTGTAACAAGGTTTAATGGCAATCCAACAAGCATACAAGTACGGAAATACAGCTCAATCTTTCTAAAAATTATAGTTATCGCCCATCATTTTTGGTTTAAAAGGAGACGAAAGACAGAAATGTGTTCGACTGACTAAAAATATGTTTTAGTTTTATTTAGTGCCATGTAGTTTATTTGGCAAGGGAAAAAAAAGCTACCTAAAAACAAACATCCTTATGCCACCCCCTAATGCCAAGTGCTGACACATTAGACAGAATATAGAGGCTTAAGTTTACATACATGTTAATTGCCATATAACATAACAAATTATGAGTAGAATCAGAAGCAAAAATACTAGTTTTAAGCTCATCCACGTCCATGAAATTGATTAAGTATACTATATAATATAGTCCATATATGTCAGATTGTGAGATCCCACGTCGGTTGGAGAGGAGAACGAAACATCTCTTATAAGGTGTGGAAAACTCTCCCAAACACACGCATTTTAAAATCGTAAGGCTGACGGCAATACGTAATGGGACAACACAATGATCCTACAGATTACAAACTCACAAAATTGTACGTTGCTTTACATGTTTCCCATGCCCCATAGAAAACTAGGCCAACCCTGCAAAACCTCCAAGAGCTTGCATATTTCTCCATGACACACAATATACAAGATAATCCATTGTTTGAAATTAAAAATCAAGAAAGCTAAAGAACTGAAAAGATTTTTTTTTCCCCAACCTGCCCAATACAAAAGCCACTTCTATTGCTCATTTTGATCTTTCTTCTCGATTGCCTTGAAGGGGAATTCACAGGTAAGACAATCCCTACAGAGCAACTAAACAAGCCAAAAGGCATAATGAAAACCAGTAGATAATGGAATAACATCTCCCACTAGTATATTTCTTAGAAAGAAGTGAAAATAAGCTGAACAAGCTACTAGGAAAGGCGTTAAGACAAATAAGACCAAGTGTTGAAGGAGTTTTTAAGTCGAAGCTTATCATGCCGTACGAACAACATTGGAACCAAGAGGATATAGAAGCAGCTGCAATTCAACCTGCATAAAGGATCCCAAATATCATAGCTTCCCCACATTCGAGTTCTCGTCATATCCTTCTAACATTGTTTGCAGCGAATCACTCAAACTTTTATCCCTAACCTGCTTGAGTCTCAAACGGTTAATCGCATCTCAACTCAGCTCACTACAATACACAACTTCCTGCAATGGAGTTCAAGTGATTTTCATCCTAGCCAGAAGAAAATGCATCCTACATAGGAGATCGGTAAAAGTGAAACATACAACGCCTCTTCCATCCGATCACTAACTGATCATCCTCTTTATCCAGAAGACATTAATAAACTCGTCAAAATAAGCTCCTAAATTTGAGAATAATCAAAAGAACGAGCGGAAAAAGGCCGAGCAGACGGAGAAATGGGAAAGAAGATCGAATTTGGGAATTGAGATTGTACCTCGTTGGTAACTGCGAAGCCGAGAAGAGCCATTGATCGATTGGAAGCAAAATCGCTGCTTAAATCTTCACCGAAATGAATGAGATTCAAGAACGAAGATCTCAAAATCCAAAGAAAAGGGTTTGGATGCGAGTGAAAATTGAATGGACGGTATATAGAAAAGGAGTCGAAAACTCAAATGTATGGGAGCACTATTTAAAGTTTAAGAAATTATTATATATAATAGTTTATAGATCAAATTCATATGGGCTAAATTTGTAATTTCTTCTTTTACTTATGAGCTATAATCCTTCCCAAGTAATAATTGTATTTAAAATGTAATCATGTATTATATATTTTTTTTCTTTTTCTTTCGTGCTCTCGATTATAAAATCTTGCCTAAATGACAATATATTATGAAACTAGAAATGTTCATTTATCATCCAGTACTCTTATTTGAACGGAGAATATGAGAGAGAAACACAAAATGTTTTTTCTTCATTAGATAATTGAGTCTGGAAGAAAATTCTCACGAGTAACTCGAACCCCACACATTTTCTGTAGAAAATTCATGACTTGATCCCTAAAAAAGGCTTCTTTATATCTGTCTCACGTTCGTAGACAATTTTAAGAAGGTCAGTAATGACTTCCGTTCATTAAACAAGAGATAGGTTAATCAAAGATTTTGTCTTAAAAATAAAGAAATTCAGGTGGAAAAAGAGATAAACCAGTTCAAACACCATCTGATTCCTTCGGAGACCAAATTTGAAGAGTCATAAATATTTGTCCTTTTTTTTTCTTTTTCTTGCAAGATATTGCAAACAAATGTCGGGAACCGACAAATTATAACCATTAAATTGTAATTTATAATTTAATGATGATGTTCTAGTTTTGTCACTTTCACACTTCAATCGACCACAACACTACACAAATTTCAGATTACAATGTGTTTTAAGTTTAATTTACTGGTTGATCCACTGATCTTACAATAAGTACAGTCATGGCTTCCTTCCATGTCGCTTCTGTTTCTAAAGCCTAGCCGACACCAAACAAATGTTTAGTAACCTGAAAGACAACAAGGGAAGAGATTCTGTGGGGTTGTCGCAAGTTTACATTTCAAAAGAGAGCTTCTCTTATTCTGATTCGGTTTTCTTCTCCGATATGTCACCGCTGCCGCTGTATGATAACGTTGTTACCCCGACGTCTACACTGCTGCCACCGTATGATAACGTTGTTACCCCAATGTCTACACTGCTGCCGACTGATGTAATTAGCGCAGCCAGGCCACTGTTGGGGCTTCCATCAGCTGCCATTCCCAATCCTAGGAAATCCAGGGTGGTATGTTTTGGGGCAAACATGGAATGGTTTCCTATCATTAGTTCCTTCAATCCTGAGTTTCCATCACAGGGACGTCCGAGTCCGAGCCCTGCAGCGATTGAGATGCCATCAGGTTGACCATGGCTCTGGTGGTTCCATGGCAAGTTCTCTTGCTGGGCAGCTAAAGAGGAAGGAGATGATACTAAACCCAAACCACGAAGCAACGAGGCATTTGATGCTGTTGCACCAATTTGAGCTGCTTTTTGGAGTAATGCTGTGGCGGACATTGCAGGCTGTGGCATCGGTGTGTACTGCCGGAGGTCTTGGCTGGCCGTTCCGAAGATCGATGGCCCTTGATTCATTGCAAGACCCAGAGAAGTGGGTTCAATGGTTGAAGATGATGCATAGTCTGATGAGCGATCTGAACAAGCCATGGCTTGCATTAGGTCTGTAAAACCAGGAGGTCTTGGAGGTTGAAGGCTCCTTGATGTCATCGAGGAAGCAAATAAGCCAGCAAATCCGCTGCTTCTCGAGCTGCTATTGCTGCTCGCGCTCTTGTTGTTGCTGCTGCTGCTGCTGCTGCTCCGACTCAGGCCAGGTGTACTGGTTGCTTCTTCAGTACATTGCGAGGGATTCTCCGACAGCTCTGTTACGAAAAATAAGAACCTTACTAACAGAAACAGAATTAAAAAGGTTCACATAGGCACACAGAGATCAAAATCTGGGAATTCTTAAAAACAAAACAAAAAAGAGGAACAATCAATCATTCCTTTTAGCTTTTCTAAGCACTTGGGGATCACTTTTACAAAAGCTGTGAGTCTAATAGTTTACAGATAGCCATTCCACAAAAAGTTCCATTGTAGATCGATCATCCGCCTAACTGTTAGGATTTCAGATGGAAACAAAGAACAATAACAGACAAAAACAAACAACAAGCAACAGAGTTTTGGTATTGTTGTTCCATAAAGACGAACGACCACACGACAAAGTGAGTAAGGCCAAGAGGTTGACTTTACCTTGACTAGGCACAGGTAATGCAGTTATTAGCTCACCAGTCTGTGGAGGAGATGAAACCGGCGGTGATGATGGCGGAGGCGGTGGCGGTGGAGGTGGAGGAGAAGGCTCTAGATTTGGTTTGACCGACGCCGACTGAGAATCGCCATCGTGGTCGGAGTGCAAATCCGGTTTGTCCACCGGCATAGGCTGAGCTTTTGAACTTTCCTTCGCCAATGCATCACAGAAAGCTCTATGTCTAATGAAGCTATCCCTCCTACAAAAGAAAAACCAAAACCCAATTCAAAACCCCCAAAAATTTCAACAAAATCCAAGACGAACTGAACAAGATATTAAATCTACCAGGAAAACAAAGTTCCACAATCGCATTTATACTCTCTGGTTCCACAAATTTTGGAATGAGCTTTCCAATCAGACTGAACAGCGTATTTCTTCGAACACTTATCGCATTTCCACTTCTTCTCACCGTGCTTTCTGCAAAAGTGCTTCTTAATCCCAGTCAGATCACCCAGAGCTCTGGAGGGGTCATGATGAACACAAGAACTCTCAGGGCAAACATAGACCTTCTTCTTCACCTCCTTACTTGTCCTCTGCCGGAGCTTCCATGGAAGATTATGACCTCGCCGGTGAAGCTGCAGATTCTGATCCCTCTGAAACCCCTTGTTGCAAATCTCACAAACAAAACGATTTGTGGCAAAAAGGGTCTTCGGAGATAGAGCAATTACTTCCGCTTCCGGATCTGCGAGAGAAAATCAAGTTCAATCAATTTGAATTCTCGAAAAAATTCAAACAAACTCAAAAGGGCAATTGGATAATCAAACTACCTGGCATTCCGGGTAGATTTCGCTTTTTCTTAGTGGCAGATTTCGCTCCCGGAGAAGAAACGCTAGCCTTCCCGGAAGCCATGGACGAATCCTTTTCATCGGCCGGCATGACTTTCGGAGCAGTAAAATTTCCCAAATCCGAAGAACAATTTGAAAATCGAGACAAAATAGGAAAAAACCCGAAAGTATTTCAACTTTAAATCGAGGAATCCTTTTGTGGGTGACAATAGTTTAATTCACTCTCTCTAGGGTTTTTCCCCCAATCTCCATCTCACTCTCTCTCTCTCTCTCTCTCTACGGGTCAAATATCTTCAAGAGGTGTCTGACCAAAATCCCACATACCCAAAAAACACAGGAATTACAAAACACGGAGACCCTTTTGAAACCCACCTAAAAGGGGTTCGATAAACGCAGCCACCGGAAAAATAATCGCCGGAGATGGATAGAACAATCGGCCGACGGTTACTTTCTACTTTCTGGAACTGGATTGAACCAGTGAAGACCGCTAGAACAGCTGCTTCACTGTCCGTTGATTCAAAACAAACTTGTGAACAAGATGAAGAGGAACTGTTTACAGAGGGAAAGAGAGAGAGAGCTCTGTGAATCTGTGAAGACGACGAGTTTGGCTTTTCTCAAGAGAAAAATAAAAGTCTTCAAAAGATGGGAAAACGGAAAAGGTAGAGAGGAGGCGGTTTGCTGAATTTTGTGCAGAGGATTTGGAACGTAACTTTTTGTCCAAGTTTTCGGCTTCGATTCGGACAAACAGCTCCTTCCATATATATATATATATATATATATATATCTTGCACCGTCGATTTGTTCCGGCAAATTTAAGAGCTCGGTGTCCTGGATTCAACAAACCATTAAACTGTAATTAATTATTATTAAAAATACACATATTTACTACCTAATTAAGATTTTAATTACATTAAATTTTAATTTTATATCACATAAATTAATTAATTTTTTAAAAAAATTATTAATAATTTTTAAAAAAATTGACTCACAAACTTATTAAAATTCATCCAATTATACTTAAAATTTAGATGAGTTACAATCTCAATAATATAAATATAAAAATCTAATAAATTCCATTATAAATTATGGATTTATTAATGAATTATAAAAGGCGCGTAAGATATAAAATTAATAAAATATCGGAGAAAATCGATCTAATATCTTTATATATATATATATATTAGAAATAGAATCGTAGGTAAAAAATTTAATACGGCAAGCAAATTTATATTACTGATACTATTATTTATTTATTTACTAATATTATTAAACAACTGCACCTACATAGGAGCCTCAAGAACCCAACAGCTTGGACTCTGTCAGCTTCCACGCGTCCAATTTCCATGTCACGTGTCTTTTTCAAGCGCCACGTAGCCTCACTTCCTTTCTTCCTCTCTTCTGTTATAAAACAATTTTCTCCTATATTCAATGTTTCAGCTCAGCCTTCGCAACTATGAAGAAATCCACTGCAATTTCAGGATCGCCATTTTCACTTTCTTTTCTGTTCACTGTCTTCTTCCTTTTCCTTTCTTTACCTTCGAATGCAGATGATAAATGGTGGGAAGCGGCCTGTCCTGTGAAGAGAGCTAATGAGAGAAAATCACTCCTCAAAACAGAGTACGGCGAGATCTCTGCCGTTGATTTACACGATGCTTCTCAATTCGGACCTTACCATCTTCAGTTCATTACAATGGAACCCAACTCCCTGTTTCTCCCTGTTCTTCTTCATGCGGACATGGTGTTGTACATGCACACTGGTATGCTCTGTTTCTTGAAAGAAAAAACAACGAATATATGAAATTTTGAATGGTATGAATGTTTGTGATTATTGTAGGAAGTGGGAGGTTGAATTGGTTTGATGATGATGATTTGAGGGAGGTGGATTTACGGCGGGGAGATATTTTCAGGCTTCAACCAGGCGCCATTTTTTACATTCATAGCAGCTTAGAGACCGAACGTGAAAAGCTTCGGATGTATGCTCTGTTTTCCAGCACAGATGAGGACCCATTTGTACGTTTAAATCCAA